AGGCCGTCCTTATGGGTACCAAACTTGGCTACCAGTATCTGCTCAGCGACTCTGCATTGTTGTGTTTCCCAAAGTCTACCTTGGAGGACGTTTACCTGAAGATCCGAGGCCGAATGTCCTTGACCGTTGAAGTGTTCCCCCACTGGGAGGGAACATCCGTGTTTGGCGATTATTTTGCGGTGTATATTCATCCATTGTCGTAACATCAGCATGGTTTCACCAATACACCATGCTTCAGGGGCATCCTTGCTTGCAGTGTATGAGATAGACAACGTTGGCCGAGTCACATGAGTATCTGCTGTGCATGTGGTGGGTGGTGTTCCCACGTGTGATGGTAGTGTCCATGTCGAAGATCTGACGTGTCTAGCAGAGGTTTCCATGGCAGGGTTGCATAGTGTTGTGATCGATGTTGTCCTGAAGGCTGGGTTGTTTGCTGCAAACAGTGGCCTGTTTAAGGCTTGGCGGTTGTTTGAAGGCAAGAAATGGAGGTGTCAGGAAGATCTTGGTGAGATGTTCATTGTCATCAATAATGTGTTGAAGGCTGTATAGAACATGGCGTAGTTTTTCCGCTCCTGGGAAGTATTGGATGACGAAGGGGACCCTATCAGACGTATCTCGTGTCTGTCTTTTGAGGAGGTCATTACAGTTTTTCACTGTGACCCGTCAGAACTGGCGATTGATGAGTTGAGCATCGTATCCCGTTCCTATGAGGGCGTCCTTCAACACCTTAAGGTGTCTGTTGCATTCCTCCTCATCCGAACAGATCCTGTGTATGCATAGGGCTTGTCCGTAGGGGATGGCTCTTTTAATATGTTTAGGGTGGAAGCTGGAGCAGTGCAGCATCATGAGGTTATCCATGGGCTTGCGGTAGTGAGGTATTGAGGTGCCTGTCCCTTATGGAGATGCATGTGTATATGAATGAGACTGATTCTAAAGAGTAGTCCATGGTAAGTCTGATGGTGGGATGGAACTTGTTGATATCCAAATGAACTTTTAAACTATTTATTTTCAACAGTTGGGTCGAAAGCTGGTGTATCGCTCAGAGCCCTTCAGAGACAAAGCGAAAGGGAAAAATGCAGCAAATTATGAAATTGAGGAGGTCAATGAAGAAGGGTCCTTTTTCAATTAGGAGTCAAGAGTCAAACCTCATTACACAGCCATCGGACCTCTGTTTTGTGTCCTGTAAATTATTTATTGATATTCAACTGTTCGTTGTTGATGTTGATAGCATAGATATAGCTGGAAAGTTGCTGTATTTCTGTTCCACATCTACTGTTCTTATACACAGTTCCACTTGAGGTCGAAAGGCACAAGATCTTGTGAGGAGACATGTTGCAAGACACCTGACTTTTTTTTTATATACCACATTGTGTGGTTGTATATACTACTGCCCATTTTTATTGGAGTAAGAACTAAAATCTTTTAAACCAGTATTGTCCAATATACTAGCCACGTGCAACTTACTGGCAGTCTAGCCATAACTTCTATATTTAAACGAAATTGAGTGTAGGGCACTGTCATTGGGCATGCAGTCTCAATGCTATTTGAGTGTTGTCTTGATCATTGTAAATGCTTTAAGTCAAGATTGCCCTGAGGCCTCCTGCAATACATTTCTGAAAACAAGTTAGGAGAATTATGGCAACATTGTTATTTCCAAAGGAAAAGCCGAGATTGCAGATTTTATTTATCGTGCTGAGTGCCTTTACTTGCTAGGATATTGACTGAAACTGTAGATGTTGGACTAAATACACACAAAATAGCTAGATTGTGTGTGTATGTCGGTACACACCAGGTATGTCCATGAAAATTACTACAAATTACCCTTACTACATGGGGCTAGCCAATTAACTACTCGACAACACTGGATTAAAGCAGTGGGTGTCCTTTACTGACATGTACACATCTTGAAAGAATCATGGGAATTTCTTTAAATCATTAGTACCAGTTTCAGGGCTCTTCCATGTCTTAAAACCTGTAATGAATTGATTCTTTTCCATGTGATGATTTACTAAGATGGTTATTAAATGTTCTGATAAATTGGCATTTGTTAAGGAAATGGTGGTAGTGATATATGAAGTGACATTGACTCAGAATATAATCTTGGATACACTTGGTAAAACTGTTCCAGTGATACCCTCTCTGGCATCTCTTCTTTCTATTTTTGATTTCAGCATCCTATTCTTTCCTTGTCCTGAGTGACTAATGGCTTAACTTTCTTAAATGTTTCACTCACTCATGGAGGAACTTTCCAATATCAGCATTGAATGCTCACAGGTAGGTACAGAATGGCCATTTAAAAAGTTCCAACTCCTACTCTTCCAAAAAATGAGCCGAGGACAGCCTTCACTAACATTAATCTACTAGGACTTTGCTGATTTTCTGATAGCCTAGTGTCAAGGACCATAGTTATGTCCTTGACAGCAGAGAAAAGGAAAACACATCTTCTCAGGGTCCAAATGCAAATCTTCCTCTGCTGTGTCCCTTCACTTCCAATTATTGTTAAGTAAACTGTTTCTCAAAATCTGCTGTAGAAATACAAATTTGTTATTGTCCTTTGTTTGTTGATCTATTTTGCTGATTGTACGATTTGTAGAAGATTACACTACAAATTGTAAATGGTAGTGTAATGTTGTATCATAGTGTTAGGAAATAGGTTGTTACTTTCAAGGGATTTGAATTAAAACAGTTTAAAATATAATGGTCTACATTCCTTTTTCTTAAAGATATACTTTACAAATCTAATCATCTTTAAATGATAAAAATTATGTCTATTCATTTTTCTAAACCATAACACCTTAACCAGGGGCCCCAGCATTAGACACCTTGTACTTAACCCTTTACACCCAGCAAACAAAAACCATTTCTTCAGAGTCCAAATTCAAACTCGCTATCTTCTGTGCTCCCAAATTAATTCACTGGCTTTAAAGTGCTTTCAGTGTCTCATGATCATGAAAGTGATGCAGACATGAACTCCTCAAAGTCAATTTGTTGGTGACAAAGGCTTTTTGTAAAATCATCAGACTTTGGGTGTTCAGCACTACAGTCGCTTAATATGGGCAGTAAACGATCTGAAAACACCTGATGAATAGTTGATTAAGTTTTTTAAGAAACAGCGGTGTGGAGATGATACATTAGTTAATTACAGTAAACAGCTTTAACAATTGGGTATGGGTCAGTGGTACCAGAGGACAAATAGGGTCTTGGTGCAGAGTGTGTTGTTCTCATTAAAGTTGTGAAGGCAGCATCCTGCTGTTTAGTGTGAGGGAACTATTCTGGGTCTTCCTCATCTTCTAGTCGATCTTCCACGTGGAGAAGACAGCTACATACCAAGCATGCCACCAGACACAGACAAAGTATCCACTGTCTGAGTCCTTGTTGATATCCCTATTTCTTTTATGTGGAGATGCCATTATTACACACCAGGTTATAATCTAACAGGTTTATTTGAAGACAAGCTTTCAGAGTCTCGCTCCTTCTTCAAGTATCAGTGAGAGAGGTGGCATCAAACACTTTGATCTTTTGCTTATAAATTCTGTGTCTGATGCTACCTCCCTCACTGACACCTGAAGAAGGAATGAGACTCCGAAAGCTTGTGTCTTCAAATAAACTTGTTGGTCTATAATCTGGCATTGTGAGATTTTTGTCTCTATTTCTAGGCACTGGTAGATTACATTGTCAGTCATCTACTTGAATCCTTCCAGCCAATGGACACAAGACACTGTGTGACATCAGGATACCTGTTCCTCACCTTCATTTGAAGGTTGGTTTTCATTCTTTTTGAGAAGAAAACATTTATTTTCTTAAACACCAAATGCCAGTCAGATCTTTGACATCAACTTATGGACCACATTGGCCTTGGGGGTTCTGGATTGTCATTTCCCTTCTGTTTTATTAGATATTCAGTGTGTTTGGGGAAGAAAGAAAGAACCTCACAGGAAATACCACAGGGGGAAAAAAAATCAATTTTAATGGCACACCCAAAATAGGTATTTGTACATTCACATGATAATCTAGACTCACACTCTCTGCAAAGCTGCAGATCAGGAGCACTCATCTCTCAAACAACTGACTCCTTACCTGCAGATTGTCTGACATCAGGAATCCCTGAAATGTTGCACGACTGCAGCTAAGACTTTGCACTTTAATGCCCACAACTCAGGCTAAACACAATATGCAGGGAATGTGCTTGGGCCTGGCTTACACACAACGTTCTGCACAGTCAGTGATGATTCCACACATCTCTGTAGGGAAAGGTTCATTTTATTTCAGTTTTCCAGAGAAGCACACTGCCATTCAAGGCTGGGAGATAAAACAATGGATGGCTCACATTTCCATTCTCCTTCATAATGGAATGGCCTGCTGAGAAAAACTGCACAAAACAAAGCCTCTTGCAGAATTAATGCTGCCGCGGCAGATGGTTTTGTGACAAATCAGATGGGATTTCCATCCTGACCTGTTCACACAGTGAAGTCACAAAAATCTTACAGAAGGGGATGCAAGTTTAGAATTCCCACAAACAGCAATTGAGGTTAGGTCAACTGTTAGTTTTAAATGGGAGATCAATCGATTTCAGTTAAAGGAATTTAAAGGACATGACAACTGGAGTGAGTAGTAAATGGATATAGGGGTATATTGGGTTTGATCACAGAGCAACCCTGACCTCAGTGAATGGTGAAGCAGGCTTAAGGAGTTCAAAAGCCTATTCCTGTGCCTATCTGCAGGTACTAATTCAGTTCTTGCCAAACATCAGTGCAATTCGAGCTATCTTCAGGAAGAGTTACATCTACCTAAACAATCATCGGGTTAGGTTGCGCAATGCTGTGAAATGTAGATCTATAGTAGTGCAAAGACACCTGGGTGCTGTGTAGATCTGCTTAGAGAATGAAGATAGCAAACAAGAAGTGGTGCATGCCTTCAATCAAAGGCACCGGACAAATCCTGGGAAATGACTTGCTCACTCTCCAACATACAAAATCTGTAAAATTAGTACACATTACATCTCAAAGTGTAAAAGAATTTTTATTGGTACATCTGAATTCACATTGTGCCATATCAAACTAGAGGAGTTGTGTCTACAATTAAATTAGTTTGTCTTGTACATTTTACAGCACAGTAGACCCCTCTGACGTGGTCAGTGCAGTCCTGAAAACGGCATCGTCCTTACTGGATATTTTTTAAAAAAGTACTAAAAAAAAATTGTACACGTGGTTATTCTTCAAAACAAAAAGGAAAGTTACTCTCTCATTTCTCCATCTTCTTCCTCCTCCTCAACTCCTCTAATGTACAAAACGTTGTTACATCTGTTGAACAGAACACAAGCCATCAGTATCCAGACAGATTTATTTTGCACAGTGTGCGTGATTAGAGATTCTAGAACCGGGGGCATTGTCTCAAAATTATGGCAGACTGTTCAGGAGTGATGTTAGGAAGCACTTCCACACATAAAGGATGGTCGATTTTTGGAACACTTCCACAAATGGCAATGGATGCTGGATCAGATATTAATTTTAAATCTGAGATACATAATTTTTTGTTAAACAGAAGTATTAAGGGATATGGGCCAAAGACAGGTATGTGATGTTTTTGGGCTAAAGATCAGCCATGATCGGACTGATTGGGAACATGCTTGCACGGCTGTATGGCCTACCCCTGCTCCTACGTTCATATGCCTGAGTCACTACCATCACACTATGAACTCTGGTGTGATGTAAGTCACCCGTAGAATTTTATTTCATTGTATCCAGTCAAGATTTAATGAAGAAATCGTACTAAACTTGCAAATGCGTGGAAGCATCTAAAGATGCATCTGGTACGATATGAAGCGTACCCAAGATTTTTGAAAGACAAATGTTTCATTAGTACACTCGGAACAACCAGATCAACAAGCGAATTAAGAAGTTATAAAGAGGTTCACACAAACACTCAAAGTGACAACAGATTATTAACCATAGGTTTCCTCACTGAGTATGATTCAGACTGGTCTGTAATTACGAGGAACATTCCCTTTAAACAGTGAGGCCGCATGGAGATCTGATACCCCACAAAGACTATGCACAAATCAGCTCCACTAATTTAAGATGCCTGCTTGAACATGCTAAAATCTTTAAAGGGACTATGCCCTTGGAGTGGGAGTGCTGATGCTTTTATTTTTCCCTCTCTCCTTTTGAGCAAGTTTGTGTATAAGAACAAAGAAAATTACAGCACAGGAACAGGCCCTTCGGCCCTCCAAGCCTGCGCCGATCCTGATCCTCTATCTAAACCTGTTGGCTATTTTCCAAGGATCTGTATCCCTCTGCTCCCTGCCCATTCATGTATCTGTCTAGATACATCTTAAATGACGCTATCGTGCCCACCTCCGCTGTAACGCATTCCAGGCACCGACCACCCTCTGCGTAAAGAGCTTTCCATGCATATCTCCCTTAAACTTTTCCCCTTTCACCTTGAAATCATGACCCCTAGTAATTGAGTCCCCCACTCTGGGAAAAAGCTTCTTGCTATCCACCCTGTCTATACCTCTCATGATTTTGTAGACCTCAATCAGGTCCCCCCTCAACCTCTGCAACATTTGTATTCTATCAATTCTATAACATTTCAACATCTAAAGAGGATTGGAAGATTGTCTGCTTCTGTCATCCTTAAGCACCTGGAACGTAATTCTGTTGTGGTACATTCCAACATTCATAAGAAGTCTCTTGTGTGGTTTCATTTGAACCAAGGAGCTCTAGGTTTGGACATGCTTCATGGACACGTTTAATCTATACTCAATCTCTTCAATAGCCTCCCACTGCTCATTTTTCCTGTTTTGATTCTAATCCACATCGGCCAGGTTCCTTTTCAACTTTGAAGTTAGCACATACCAGTTGAGTGTCTTCACCTTTGAATGTTTGGTTCTTTTTCATAACTTGGGTAAGTCAAAAAAAGTGCCAATTCTTTCCTAAATGCTCCTCCACCAAAGCCTGCTCCAATTCATCCCAAGAAATCAATTAAACATTGTTTCCTTCCTCATTAGAAGCACACTGATCAACAAAGTTCTCTTACTTACATTTCAGGAATTTCTCTCCTCTTTGACATTTGCTATTCTTTTCCTAGTCCAAGACAACTGAAGCCCCCAATTATCAGTGCATTATAAGTTTATAGTTTCTTTCTGTAATTTGCTTGAAAATCTGCAGCTTTATATCTTCCCCACCATTTAGTATACACCTAGTAGTGGAATAGTCTCCCTACTGTTCCTCAATTCTTACCAATAGATTCTGCCTTTGATCCAATTCTGACCAATAATGCTACAGCTATGTTTTTCCTTCCCTACCATTCCTGAGTACTATTTCACCAGGGATATTAAGCGTTCTACCCTTCCCTTGTTTGATTCAGGTATCTGTTATTGTCACGGTCATAACCCCACGTAGAAAGGTGATATACAGTTCACCAGTCTTATTTTTCATTACCATTTCAACTACCACCTTTTCCAGGGCAACTAGGGCCAGGCAATAAATGCAGGACTAGCCAGTAACATTAATTTGGTCAATTAATTTTTTAAAATGTTATTTGTCTCTCTGCCCTCTGCACATTTTGTACTTTGTTAAAATTCATTCCTGGCATGTAGGCAATACTGGTTAAGGTCAGCATTCATTAATCATTTCTAATTGTTCTCAAAAATGGTGGTGAGCCCCAACTGGAATACAAAAGAATGACTTGCTGGGCCACTTCAGAAAACAGTCCAGAGTCAGCCACATTGCTGTGGATCATGCAGCTCATACACAACACAATGGACAAGAGATAGTAGGAACTGCCGATGCTGGAGAATCTGATCTAACAAGGTGTAGAGCTGGATGAACACAGCAGGCCAAGCAGCATCAGAGGAACAGGAAAGCTGACGTTTCGGATCTAGACACTTCTTCAGAAATGGACAAGCACAGGTTGACTCCCTTCCTGACGGAACGAGTGAAATAGATGGATTGAGAATCTGATGTTTTGTGGTTACTGTAAATAATACCTGTTTCTTAATTCCAAATTTTGGTTTAATTAACGGTGTTTAAACTCATTCCTCCAGTCCAAGCTTCTGGATTAGTAAAGTATTGTGGATGTTGAATAAATGAAGCTGAAACAAGTTGATGACTTTATGTCAAAACAGCAGTTATCAGTCTGAAACATTAGCTGTTCCTCTCTTTTACAGATGCTCCCTGACCTGCTTCATATTTCCAGGACAGTGTTTCAGCCTCTAGCAACATAGCACCTTGACATTACTAGCCTGAATCCTCGATAATAACTAATATTGACACACGACCCTCCATACCCACCCCAAAAAAAAAACTCCCTCAGAAGTAAATGAAATAGCACAAGTTAAGCTTCCATAATGACATCGGCCCTAGCCTTGATGAGCAGCACACTGTATTCTTCTGCAGTTTTCCTCTGTCCTGGGAATTGAAAATCCTCCCTCTCACTATATTGCTCCAGCTATTGATTTACATACTTCATTAATAGTAATGAAGGATTAATGGCAACCTTTTAGTGTGAATACTTTGCATATTTTTATAATGCTGGAAGATGACAAAAATCTGCACTTTGAGGAAACCCAAAGTCAAGTGGAAGAGGTTCATGGGTTTAAATGCAATGAAGAAAATAATGGGACGAATAGACAAAAAATCCCGTTGCTCTGCTTTCTCTCTTATCTACTCCAGTTAATCCATTGCATTTAAAAAAACAATTATTTCATAAGACGTGGGTGTCACTGGCTGCACCAGCATCATCACCCATCCCGAGTTGCCCTGGAGAAGGCAATGGTGAGCTGGTCTTGAAATGCTACAGTCCTGTGTAGTACTGTTAGGGAGGGAGTTCTAGGATCTCAACCCAGCCACACTGAAGGAACAGTGATATATTTTCAAGTCAGGACGGTACTTGATTTGGAGGGGAACTTATAAGTGGTGGTGTTCCCATGTATCTGCTGCCCTTGCCCCTCCAGATGACAGAGGTTGCAGGTTTGGAAAGTGCTGCTGAGGGAGTCCTGGTGAGTTTTTGCAGTTCATCTTGTAGGTCAGGACTTCGACTTCACACAGGGCCACAAGCTGACATTTTGAGATCAGGAGCTTTAAGGCAGCAATGGCCATACCATGGACTGAGTTGTAACAGCTGGGCTCCATCTCTAACAGGAACCCCTTCCCACTGTTGTGCTGTGACAATTTCCAAACCTCAAAATGGGACCAGGCTGGGAAAACATTTAAGAAGCAATGTTGTACATGATGCACACTGCTGCCATTGTGTCTCTATGGTGGACAGAGTGAATTGTTGAAGGTGGTGGTGCCTATCAAGCGAGCTGCTTTTTCCTGGGTGGTGTTGAGATTCTGGAGTGCTGTTGGAACTGCACTCATCCAAACAAGTGGGAAGTATCATGATTTATGCCATGGAGATAGTAGACAAATTTTAAGGGGTCAGGTGGTGAGACACTTTTTGCAGAATTTCCAGCCTCCACCTGCTTTTATAGTATTTATTTGACTGGTCAAAAACAAAAATTGGAGAAACTCAGCAAGTCTGGCAGCATGTGTGGAGAGAAAACAACATTTTGAGTCCATAAGGTCATTGGATTCGAAACATTAACACTGTTTTGTCTTCACAGATGAATTTTTCCAGCATTTTGTTTGTTTCAGATTTCCAGCACCCAGTAGCTAATTCTTTTATTTCAGTTTCTGAAAAACTAGATTAGAAGCCTAGCACCCTGTGCTAACACACTTAGGACATTTTAAATCTCTGCCATGACAGATGATATCATTTGAATTCAATAAAAATCTGGAATTAAAAACTAGCCTTATGGTGACTAAGTAACCATTGATGTCCAAGACAAATGATATTCAAGAAGGGAGCAAGGGATAAACCAGGAAACTACAGTCAGTCCAACCTTGGTGGTGGGAAAACAATTGGAAGTAATTTTGAGAAACAGAATTAATTTGCATTTGGTGAGTTCAGCATAGTGTTGTTTAAGGGAGGTCATGTCAGTTCAACTTGATTGAATTTTTTGAAGACGTGACCAGGCAATGTTTTTGATGTAGTCTACTTGGACTTCAGCTTTTGATTAGGTCCCATATGGGAGACTGATATTAAAGGTAACAGCCCATGGGATCTAAAGAAATTTGGTCAACTGGATTCACAACTGGCTGAGATTTATGGGATGTGGGCACCACTGGCTAGGCCAGTATTTATTCCCAATCCCTAGAGTTCAGAAGGCAGTTGTGTCAACTACATTGTGGGTGTGAAGTCACATGTAGGTCAGACCAGGTAAGGGCGGCAGCTTCCTTCCTTAAAGGACGTTTGT